GAGCACCTATGTAGCTTATTCCCGTGGTCGGCTCAACACCGGCTCTGCTGGATTAACACCAAGGAGTAAAGGGTTAAGCAAAGTATGTGATGTATTTGAATTGTTATATAGACGAAGCTGTAGATGATTTTGATAAATGGCACGTGTCGATTTATCTCAAATCGATACACGACGAAAACTATTCCATCGTCGATGTTCACAATACGAATATTTTTTGACAGAAAATGACCTTTATTTGAAAATAGTAGAAACACATGTTTTTTGGGAACAATAATAATTAAATAAATCTAGAGATAGAAACGATATGAACTAATGTCACATACGAGTTTTCTCCTTATGTTATACCAACCAATAATCATAGTCAGCTGCAATATAAATTTTACCCTTATATGTTTCAGCAATGGCATCTTTTAATCTTGTTTCATCTTCTTTTGTTAAAGGAGATGGCACGATATGTGTTAAAATTAAGTTTTTCACATTGGCTAATTTAGCTAATGTTGCCAATTGTGGAATTGTTGTATGTGCATCATAGACTTGACATTCAGAGTAAAATTTATCAAATGCTGAAGAATGTGATTGAACCACTTTATGAATGTATGTTCCATTCATAACTTCGTGTATCAGATAATCAGCATTTTTAGCGGCATTCAAAATAGCACGTGTTGTTGGATAACCGACCGTATCACCGCTAATTGAAATTTTAATATTCTTATATTGAATATTATATCCGACGGCTGGATTTGCGGTATAATGATATACACGAAATGCTTTAACAGTTAAATTATGTTTTTTATTTTGATAAACAATTACTTGAGTTTTATTATCAAGTGGTGGTGGATCAAATGGTGTACTAACAAAGTTCAATGAATCAAATATTGTTGGATCCAGTTGTGGATTAGTTGGTGTGTTAAACGTCGGTGTACATATATTTCTTGGAAAGTCGACTAAGAGTTGTCGATTTATTGTATCCATAGCGTAAAAGTGTCTCATACCCTGTGTTAAATTATATAATAATTCATTATCTGCTCCATGTATTGCAATAGCTTGTGATGAATTTTTTCTGCCAAGAAGATAACCTAAATTTAACGCACCCGGTATACCGCCAGTATGATCACCATGATAATGTGTTATAAATATATTAGTAATTAATGATAGTTGATCAGTATTATTAAATGAATTTAATGTTGCTTCAGCCCCCATACCAATATCAAACACTAAATAATCAACATTTTCAATTATAATAGTGAAACAACCACGACCACGTGATGTCGGAATCGGTGTACCAGTACCACATGCAACCATTTTTATACCAGTTAAAGAGTGAAACTGTTCTTGATTGTTATCGCATATTTTCGATTGGCAATATTTTCGTTCTAATAAACGTGTTGGATGCAACCAATGTGCTGGGTCACTTATGTTATTATTTTTAATTGCATCTAAATATTCCTCTCTTGATACGGTTGTTGAGAAATGGTTAATAACAAACTCAATAGTGCCTGCGTACAGAAGTATTCGGAAATATGCTGAGACGAGCATCATATGGAAAACAGGATACAGAATTTGGTCATAAGTAAGAAAATGTGTCTGACAGACTACTAATATTGTCTTTCGTTAAAAAAACACTTTAGTCATTCCTTCTCTTCTAGCTACAATAATTGATTTTGGTAAAGGAAAACAAAATATGAAGGTCATCGCCCTTGATGAGTACTGCCTAGGAAGTCATTAAAATATATCAAATGTTTTTATCACTTTATATTGACTCTTATATATAACACATCAAAGAAGCATGAACTGTGCTAATTATAATAGGTAATATTCATACTATTTGGCCTCATCACTTAATAGTATGGTCCCAAACAAACAGAAAAAATGATTTTTCAGTACAACGAAATATGCATCTCGAAACACTTTCACATTGAAAAGTGTATTCATAAACAATATTTGAGCATCAGATAACATACTCTACGTTGTGGTCTCTTTTTAGAGCTATTTTCAAGAGAAACATGCAGTTAACGTTTAAATGTATAACTAAACACAGCTGCACTAATATATATGACTGAATGGCATAGCCATTGTACCGTTTGTAAAAAAATTTCTCTGAAAGAAAAATCAAAGCAGTGTTAAAGTGATTGACAAGTTAAGTGTTACTGTGAAAGAGAATCATAAAAAACGGCTTTTCCCTACACTTTATCCGCTTTCTTCGAAAAAACTTGGTTTATTCTAAAATTGGCTAAAATCCTCACGGTGGCTCCAAAATATAGTGCAGATTGCCATTTTTTCAATAACTCAATAACAGCGTAAGATAGAACGTTGCGCTCTTCAACAGTCAAAAGTAGACATTTGAGGCTATTCTTTCACTACCAAAGGCGGTTGTTAAAAAATTCATGACGCCAATTTTTCAGAGCCCTTTGGAAAACCAGTTTGCATCTCTAAAAATGGACATTGAAATAGGTCAATTTTTTTTCATAGATATATAGTTCAAAATGTCTTAACAAAAGTAGATCTAAGCAACATCTGGAAAATCCATGAGTCGGCAGCTATGGGCGCTTTTCCCGAAGCCTTTGGACTCCTCTGTCGTTAAGTTTGAAACTGTTAGAAATAAATGTAAACATACGTTATCGACTATGCTAAAACTCGTGG